TTACATGTGACTGGACTTTCTGAAAAAGAAAAACAAAACAATAGAATATAACTAATATTTTAAAATATAATCCATAAAAATGTTCAGGAAATTACAGACAATCTAAATCCACATACTAAACAGGTCCACCAGATACCTGGGAAAATTCACCCAGAACGATCAACCCTCAGATATAACCTAGTAAAACTTTAAAGATAAAGAAAAAAACCTCAAGTTTCTAGGCAGGCAAAAAGACTAAAAATCTTAAAATAGCAAGAGAATTCAGCTAGTATCAAAATTCCCAGGAGCAATAGACAAATCAAAGTAAGAAGCAAGCAGCATTTGCAAAAAACTCAAGGGGGAAAAATGCGAACCAAAGATTTTATATCCAGCTAAGCTGTTCTTCAATATCAAGGCCATAAATAAAAAATAACATAAAAAATACTTTTACACATGCAAGAACTTGGGGAATACTGTATTCATGAGTCCTTGAAGAATCTCCTAAAGGATGAATCTCATCCAACCAAGTATGACAGAGGAAATTTAGGTAAAAGGAATGATGGTGAGGATGTGATATGTTTAATTTTAGATTAAGACTAAAACAAAAGTGGAGACAAGATGAAGAATAATATAAAATGCCATATGTTCTGACAAAGTAAATACAACATGAATTAAAAGTGGAAGAAAAAGGAGAGAGAAAGTGGAAAGGAGAATAAATTCACTGATGTTGCCTAGAAGTAGTTCTCAAAATTTTGGCCTCTGAAATACTTTACACTTCTAAAATTCTTGAGAACCCCCTAAAGTTTTTGTTTATTGAATTATCTGTATCAACATTTTCCATATTAGAAATTAAAACTAAGTTATTTCCTTATTTACTTAAAAATAGCAACATAGTAATAAACCTACTACATGGTAACACAAATAACATTGTTAGGAAAAATGATACTTTTCCCAAAAAATACAATGAGAAGAGCGGAATCATTTTACATTTTGCAAATCCCTTTAAAGTCTGGCTTAATAGGAGACAGCCGGATTTTCATATGTGTTTCAAACATTTCATTAGCCATCAGAGTGATAACATCATCAGATATCATGTCGCCTCTGGAAAACTTTCACGTGCATTCATGAGAAAATGAGAGTGGAAAAGCAAAATAATTGTCTTAGGACTATTGTGAAAATAGTCTGACCTCACAGACTCCCTGAAAGGGTTTCAGGGGCTTCCAGTGGACCACACCGTGAGAACATCTGTTGTACAGATGAAAGGGAAGAGTCAGAGGATACATTAGAACCTGACAAGCCAGATAATAAAGGTTAACTAAGACAACGATGGAGCAGGGCATTGAAAAAGGTATGAGTACAAAGGTTATCACTAAATACCTAACCCTAATACCAAAAGAAATTTTAAAAATTAAACAGCAAAGCAAAGACATCATGTAGAAAAACACAGAAAATATAAAAATCATCATTACATATATAGCAATATTAATTAAAATACAATGACAGAGACCAAACCTAACAAGCATATTATTAATAAATGTGAATTGGCCTAACTCATCATTTAAAAGAAAAATATTTCTAAAATGACTCATGAAGAAACATCAAATTTATGATGTATATAAGAAACACATGAAAAAAAGTGATTCATCAAGGCTAAATGTAAAGGGGTGGTTACACACATAACAGGCAAGTGAAATCAGTAAGAAAGCAGGATTTATCTCAAACAACACTCTGTACCTATAATGCAATGAGATAACAAATTAATAGCAATAGTTAAGAATAAGAAATTCTTTTACCCGGGAGTTCAAAATTTTCTCTTAAACAAATCTTAAGTGAAAGAGGAAATACAATCTCCAATTTCAGAATCTATAAAATGTAATGATAATGAAAATGCTACACATCAGAACCTATGGAATATGTTCAAGCAGTAATCAGAAGAAATAATTGACTTATACACATAGCAATAAATATAAAACAATAAAAATTAATGAATTAAATTACAAACTAAAAATACATTTTTTAAACTCCAGGGGATGCCATCATAGGAGAGCTCCCAAAATATTGTGAGGTTTACTTCCAAAAAATGTTTTTTAAAAGAACAATAAAATTAACCCAAAAAAAGTACCAAGAAGAAAATAATAGATAAAAGTAAAAATTAATGTAGTCGAGAAGAGAAATGTAAGAAATCTAATTAAGTCAAAATCCTTGTTCTTTTAAGAATATTAACAACGCAGACACAATACTAGATCACCTAATCAAGAAAAAAGGGAGGAAAGCACGAATATGTAAAGGGAGAAATGATTAAAAAAAACCATTAAGAAAAAAGGAAACTTTAAAACCATGAGTTTATTTCACACACCTCTATGCAAATAAATTTGAAAACCTGCATCAAATGAAAAATTTTTGAAGAAATATAGTTTACCAAAATGACTCAAGTAGATTTGGATAATTTAAATGGATCCATTTTTATAGGAAAAAAAATAGAGGGGCCGGCTCCCTGGCCGAGTGGTTAAGTTCGCACACTCCGCTGCGGCGGCCCAGGGTTCGGATCCTGGGCGCGGACATGGCACGGCTCGTCAGGCCACGTTGAGGTGGCGTCCTACATCCCACAACTAGAAGGACCTGCAACTAAGATATACAACTATGTACCGGGGCGGGGAGGGGGGGGGGGCGCGGTGGGGGGGGTTGGGAAATAAAGCAGAAAAAAAAAAAGGAAGATTGACAACAGTTGTTAGCCCAGGTGCCAATCTCAAAAAAAAAAAAAAAAAAAAAAAAATTAGAGAAATTTATCGAGGCTATACCCCACAAAAAAGCACTAGGCCCAGAAGATTTCATAAGGAAACTTTACCAAACTGTCAATAAGCAGTCCCAATGCTACAAAAACTGTTCCAAAGCATAGAAAATGAAGGAAAACTTTCAAAATCACTTTATGAAACAAATATAATATTGACACCAAAATATGACATAGTCCAAAAATTTTAAAAATAAAATTACAGACTAATATAATTTATGAATATTAAAGCAAAAATATTAAATATTTATTAGCAAACAGAATTCATCACACACTGTGAAAATAATACACAATAACCCAGCAAGATATGTTCTAGGAATGCAAGGTACACTCAATATAGGAAACCATTAGCATAAAATAACATAAATGTAAGGAGAAAAATTATAATCTCTTCATAAATGCTAGAAACTTCTTTTTAAAAATTCAACACCCATTCCCAATAAACACACACACACCCCCCCATGATGCTGAAGCCACAATCTTACTTAGTGTAAAAACTTTACAGATATGTACAAGACTTGTACCTGCAAAATGGGTCCCAATGATCCCCTTCCATGTCTTCACTTCTTTGTCTAGCCCCCTCCCACAATGAATAGTGCTGACCTGTGTACCCAATTAGGCCCAATCACACAAGAAACGACGTTGTGCGACATCCAGTGCTAAGTTACAAAGAACAACTGTAGTTCCCCCCGGTTCTCTCTTGGATCTTTTGTCCAGCGGAAGCCAGCTGCCTCATTGTGAAGACACTCAAGAAGTGCTATGGAGAGGACCACACGGTGAGAAACTGTGGCCTCCTGCTAACTGACTGCACCGCCTTGCCAGCCATGTGCATGAGCCAATTAAGCCTCTGATGTCTGCAGCCCCGGCCACCATCTTGACTACTACTTCCTGAGAAACCCTCAAGACAGAATCAGGCAGCCAGGCCACTCCTGAATTCCTGACCTGTAGAAGATGTGGGACATAACAAATGTTTATTATTATCTTAAGCCACTAAGTTTAGAGGCAATTTGTTATGTACGCAGCAACAGATAACTAGTACAACCTGGATGAGAAAGCCTTAAAAACACTACTGAAAGACACAAAGTCAGATGTGAACAAATGCAGAGGCAGCCCTTGTTCTTGGACAGGACAACTCAATATCATAAAAAGATCACTCTTCCCTACATTAATTTATAAAGTTAAGGCAATAACAATAAAAATACCAGTGAGTTTTTTCTTTTTTTGAGGAAGATTAGCCCTGAGCTAACATCCATGCCCATCTTCCTCTACTTTATACGTGAGACACCTGCCACAGCATGGCTTGCCAAGTGGTGCCATGTCCATACCTGGGATCCGAACCAGTGAACCCCAGGTCACTGAAGTGGAACGTGCGAACTTAACCACTGTGCCACCAGGCTGGCCCCTACAATAAGCTTTTTTTATGAAGCAAGATAAGTTGCAAAAAAAGTTCATATGGAAGTTAACATGCATGAATGGCCAGGAAAACACTGAGAAAACAAAGCTATGAAAAGGGACTGGCCCTACCAGATATTAAAACACTCCATAAAGCTTGCATTATAAGAACAGTGCAGTACTGACACAGGAATGGGCAGACAGACTGGTGCAGTAGAATAGAATAGAAAGCCCGGGTAGAGACACAAGTACATATGGAAATTTAATATATGATGAAGGTGGCTCCCAAACCCCTGGGCAAATCTGGGCAAAGATGAAATTTTTAAAAATGGAACTGAGATAACTGGATAGTCTTTTGGAAAAAGATACAATTAAATGCATTCCTCACATCACATGTAAAAATAAATCCCAAATGGATGCAGGGCTCTAAATGTTAAATATAAAACCATACAAATACTAGAAGAAAACACGGTTGACTTCATCTATGACCTGGGCATAAGAAAAGTTTCTAAGTCTTAAGATTCGGTTGAAAATTTTTTAAAAGATAAATTTGACTATACAAAACTTAAAACTTTTTCATGAAAAAAAAACCCACAACCAAAGTAAAAGTGACAAATGACAAACTGAGGAAAAATATGTGCAGAAGGTATCACAGATAAAAAGGTATTATTCTTAATATACTTAAAAACTCTTAAAATAAAGGGGGAAAAAATGACCAAAACCTCAATAGAACAATAACTTAAAGGCACAAGCAAACAAGTCATAAAAAGATATACAATGGTCCTTAGTCATAAAACTATTTCAATTTTATTCATAATAAGAGAAAAGTAAATTAAATTACCCTGAGACACCATTTCTCTTCTATTGGATTGGCAAAAAATTAAAAATCTTGGCAACACATTCTGCTGGCAAGGCTGTGAGGCACTCTCTTTCATTGCTGGTGGGAATGCAAATGATAGAACCTTTATACTGAGGAATTGGCAATCTGTAATAAAATTACATACACATTTCCTTTTAACTCAACAATTAAATACGCATTTCCTTTTAACTCACCAGTTCTAGGATTTACTCTGAAGATACACCTCTAACAATAAGAAAATACATTTGCATTAGGTTACCTATTGCAGCATTATCCGTAAATGCAAAATATTGGAAACAATCTAAATGTCAATACATAGGAGATTGGTAGAATCAGTTATGATACATACACACAGTGGAGTGATGTGCGTTGGTAATAAAGAATAAAGGCCATCTCTATGAGCTAAGGTGAAGTGAGTTCAGCACATATTGATAAGTGACATAAGCAAAGTGCAGATATATTTATATTTCCATAGTCACAAAGTGTTTTTGTAAAGGTAGTTCATTACACAGGGAAAAAGGATCATTGGCAGACTCACCTTAATCAAGCAACCAAAGTTAACACCTTCAGTAATGGTATAAATTGATACTATGTGCCTCCTGACATGATGTCCTGAGAAGAAAATATCACCTTTGTAGTATTTCTGCAAAAAAATTCATAATCATAAAAAACATCACACAAACACAAACTTAGGAACAGTCTATAAAATAAAATGTTAAGGACACGAAAGATAAAGATTCCTGAGGGACAGAAAGGAAGAAAGGAGAGAAAAGAGATGTGACAGGTAGAATCTTGGATTGGAGGAATAGCTATAAAATGTAATTGGCAAAATTTGAACTTGGATAGTAGATTAGATAATAATACTTAATTAATGTTAAACATCCTGATTTTATGCTTATACTCGGGTTAAATCTTGGTCCTGTTCTTAGGAAACACTCACTGAAATACCTTGGAGGAAGGAAATATTATGTCTGCAATCTATCCACCAATGGGTCTTTAAAAGTATAAATAATGGATGTGTGTGTGTGTATCTGTATATATACAGTTGGCCCTCTCTATCCACAGGTTCTACATTCACAGATTCAATCAACCATTCAACCAAGCACAGATGGAAAGGCCTGCAATGGTTGTATCTATACTGAACAGGTAAACCTTTTTTTTCTTATCATTATTCCCTAAACAATACAACAACTATTTATATAACATTTACATTTAGATAATACATAAGTATTATAAGTAATTTAGAGATGATATAAAGTACGCTGGAGGATGTGTGTAGGTGATATGCAAATACTACACGATTGTATATGAGGGACTTGAGCATCTATAGAGAGAGAGAGAGAGAGAATGACAAGCAAATGAAGCAAAATGCTAAAATTAGTGAGTCTGAGTAAATAACATACTGGAGTTCTTATGAATTACTTTTGCAACTTTTCTGCAAGTTTGAAGTTAAAAATAGTTTTTTAAGTGTGGATTTCTGTTTGACAAGTGACAACATGGACAAAGTTCACCAGTGTTTGAAAGCATGGGAGAAGGTATTTGGAATGTCTAAAACTCATAAGGCCTTGACTGGATGTAAAAGGAATTCTTGCAAAGCAATAAGAAAAAACAGCAATCCCAATAGAAAGAAAGACAAAGGCTATGAAGAGACAATTTACAGAGGAGGAATCCCCAAGAGCTATCAAACATGCAATAAAGTGCTCAGAGTCATTGATAGTTTGAGAAATGCAAATTTAAAAAAAATAAGATATCACAACTCTGTTAACTCACAAACATTAGAATTCTAAATAATTCTAAGGGTCACTAGAAGTGTGGGGATGTAGGAACACCTATACATTGCTAACACATATATATGGTGATATAAATGGTATAACCACTCCTTTTAATAATCTGGCATTACTTAATCAAATTATACATACACTGTTAAAGAAAAACTTCACTGGACACTTGTTAAAAATGTCAAGGGGGGCGCCGGCCCCATGCCTGAGTGGTTAAGTTCGTGCACCCCACTGCAGCGGCCTGGTGTTTCGCCAGTTCAAATCATGGGCATGGATATGGCACTGCTCATCAGGCCATGTTGAGGTGGCGTCCCACATGCCACAACTAGAAGGACCTGCAACTAAGATATACAACTATGTACCGGGGTAATTTGGGGAGATAAAGCAGAAAAAAAAAAAAAGGTTGGCAACAGTTGTTAGCTCAGGTGCCAATCTTTAAAAAAAAAATGTCAAGGGGGGCCAGCCCCATGGTGTAGTGGTTAAGATTGGCACACTCCACTTTGGAGGCCCAGGTTTGTGGGTACAGATCCAAGGCATGGACTACCATCACTCATCAGCCCTGCTGTGGTGGCCACCCACATATAAAGTGGAGGAAGATTGGCACAGATGTTAGCTCAGAGCTAATCTTCCTCAAGCAAAAGAAAAGAGGAAGATTGGCAACAGATTTTAGCTCAGGGCTAATCTTCCTCAACAACAACAAACAGTCAAGGGAGACTTTAAGACATTGCAATAGGGGAGAGAGATTGAACTCAACTCTGCTGAGACAAAAGGCAGAAGAACTTTTAAACGCTGGGGTGAGCTAATGGGAAAGTACCAGAGGACACTGTGAGGAGGTTGGTCAATGTGATTGGGCCATCTGTGTTTGCTAATTGTCACTTTTCAAAGTTAGGATCCTACCCTCCCACAGAGACTGGGAGATAGGGATGCTGTCTCCTTCCATGATTACACTTAAAGGGATGACTCCCAGATCCTTGAGAAAGGCATTTTCTGAGTTACAGAGTATCAACAACACAATTACAAGTTTTCTAAAGTAAATACTCTAAGAAAAGGGAGGTCAGGGGCCTATAATCAGGAAGAAACTTGTCTAAAGCTTAGTCAAGCTGAGGGGAAAGTTAAGGCAATCTTGGTCAACACCTACCAGCAACTCCATTCCTGAAGATGGATGTATGGATAGATAGACAGAGAGATAAATAGATAGATAGATAGATAGATAGATAGATAGATAGATAGATAGATAGATAGATAAAGTAGGCAGGCATATATTTACAAGTATGTCCACTAAAGATTGTATTTAGAACCAGGGAGTTGGAGCCCATCATGGTGCCCAAGAATGGATAGGTCAAGTATGGTGGATACATACTATGCAGATTATGAAGCAATTGTTCTGAACCATAGCCCCTGGTTTTTACATCAGCTGTAGCTTTTTAAACCAGCTGTAGCTTTTTACACTGACAGCTTCCCACCCTGCCACTTGTCTATCAACTTTTCAGACTTAGGCTTTCTCCCAAACAGGGAAACTGCTTTGCCCACAAACACTGTGCACTGGCTCTTAAGGCTGCTGTCTGGAAGTGACTCATGTCTCTTCCAGTAACGTTTCATTGGCCAAAGTAATTCACATGGTCATGCCCAATTTCAAAGAAAGGAAGACAACTGCAATTCTACCACATGCCCAAAAGGTAGAGAGCAGATAATATTTAATGAGCAGCACTAATGACTAGGACATTCTCAAAATGCCTGACTAAGGTGGTTTTGACTAATCGTGAGTGACATAAAGATCCATGACAAGGAGTCATTTGTAATTTTACTGAGGCATGAATTTGAATCACACATGTGAATGAGGATGAAACTCATTGGAGAGAGCACCAAAGCAAGTTTCTTATCTGTGAATGAACCACCAACTGCCCAACATCCACATCACATCATATCATATTGCAACTTTGTTGTTGCAAATGCACTAATGCTCAGGAAGTATACTTAGGTTTCACAGGGGAAATCATCTGCTGTAAATTTGAGGACTATCAGAGTTCTTGAGACATATCTCTTTTTGAACATAAGGGTCCATTCATTGATTTATCAGTCACATTATTGATCATGGCAAAGATTCACATCAACTACTGTTCTCAGCCACAATGCCTCTCCAGTCATAAGATTCATGGTGACTAAGATGTATACTGACTGGAATTCAACGAGTCCAATGTATCAGAGAGACAGTCATATATCAAAGTGGTCTGAGCACTGTGGAGCTCTTTATCCCTAATTGTTAGAGAGTGTGACATGGGAAAGAACATAGGATTTGGAGCACAAAGACTCACTCACTGAATAACCTTAGCACGACAGCGAACTATTCTTAGCCTCAGTGTCTTTATCAGAAAATGAGGCTGCAATATGCAGGTCATTTCTCTTCCTTGCCTCACTTTGTTCCTTTTATCCTTCACTCCTGTTGAAATTATGCTATGAGAACTGTCAAATTTAGCAAGGAGAAGGGTTTGTTTGTGTCCATTTTGAAGAATCTAAATAACTGAGCCTCCTTCTATAAGAGGAGGCAAAGGCTATAAAGGTCCACCTTTCACCTCTCAGCAGGGACCAGAGCACAGGATCCTTGTCCCTGAGTCCAGGAGGCAACCAGGCCCTCAGGAGTAGCAAGGACAGAAGGAGATCAGAGAAAGTAGGAGCCTCTGAAAGACCTCCTAAAGTAGACTGAAAGGAGGCTCAATGAGGAAAGCAAATTCTGTTGTACATTACCTGCTGTATTTTCTTACCTGCGTGCCCGTCTGGACATTCCATGCACAACCAACGGCTACAGTAATAACTCCATCACTAAAGGCAGCTGTAGACCAACAGGTTTTCAAACTATAAAGTGTTATAAACAAATGTGGGGGTTATAATTATGATCTCAAGGATTATAGAGTGTGTCTGCGGCAAATTCCTCCAGAGGGCAACTGGGGAGGGGCATATTTGAAGCCCTTTAACTTGCTAGATCTAGAACCATACTTATAGTTTTCATGTCCTGAGCCCTTCTCCCATCTGCTTTATCAAGGACTTTCTTTTTTTTTTTTTTTTGTAAAGGAATGGGAAAATATGACATTGATTGAAAATATTAACAAATTTTGACAGAATTTTTTTTGCTTTAAAAGGAACATTTTAAATACAAAGTAGGGCAAAATTTCAAGTTGAAAGATATTCTGTATTTCTTGATTTAGAGGATGACTCGCAATTTGAAATGGCTGAGATTAACTTTTTTTTTAAAGATTGGCACCTGAGCTAACAACTGTTGCCAATCTTCTTTTTTTTCCTGCTTTTTCTCCCCAAATCCCCCCAGTACATAGTTGTATATTTCGCTTTTTCTCCCCAAGTCCCCCCAGTACATAGTTGCAGTTGTGGGTTCTTCTAGTTGTGGCATGTGGGACGCCACGTCAGTTTGGCCTGACAAGTGGTACCATGTCTGCGCCCAGGATCCTAACCAGCGAAACCCCGGGCCACTGAAGGGGAGCACGCAAACTTAATCACTCAGCCATGGGGCCAGTCCCCTGAGATGAACATTTTAATAAGTAATTCCCTCTGAGACAGACATTGTTAACTTTGAGAAATCAAAATTGTCTTTGGTTTAGTTTATTGCTAATAATGCTTAGTAAGAAACAAAGAGTATTTGACATATGTTCTCCTTAATAATAAGAGGAGGACCTATTACTAAAAAGTTCTTTTTTGTTGTTGTTGCGGTAACAACAGTTTATAACATTACATAAATTTCAGGTGTACATCATTACATTTCGATTTCTGTGTAGATTACACCACGTTTGCCACCCAAAGACTAATTACTATCCATCACCATACACATGTGCCCAGTCACTCCTTTCACCTTCCTCCCTCACCCCTTCCCATCTAGTAACCACCAATCTAGTCTCTGTATCTATATGTTTATTTGCTGTGTTGTTGTTGTTTTTATCATCTATTTATGAGTGAGATCATGCAATATTTGACTTTCTCTGTCTGACTTATTTCACTGAGCATAATACCCTCAAGATTCATCCATGTTGTCACAAACGGCAAGATTTCATCTTTTTTTATAGCTGAGTAGTATTCCATTGTGTATATGTACCACATGTTCTTTATCCATTCATCCCTTGGTAGGCACTGAGTTTGTTTCCAAATCTTGGCTATTGTGAATAATGCCACAATGAACATGCGGGTGCATATATCTTTACACATTCATGTTTTCGTGTTCTTTGAATAAATACCCAGCAGTAGAATAGCTGGGTAATATGTTACTTTTATTAATAATTTTTTGAGCCTTCTCCATATTGTTTTCCATAGTGGCTGCACCAGTTTGCACTCCCACCAGCAGTGTATGAGAGTTCTCTTTTCTCCACATCCTCAACACTTGTCAATTCTCGTCTTGTTAATTATAGCCATTCTGATCGGTGTGTCTATTTCTCTGTGCTTATATCTATGTTTTAGTTAAATCAGCTACATCTCCTGATCTTGGAGAAGTGGCCTGATATAAGAGATGCCTTATGAGGTCTAGCAATGTGCTTCCCTCTCGTCACCAGTTCCAAATGTTCCAGGATTGTTCCCTGTGTGGGCTATGTGTCCTTCTGTTATGGTGGGGTTGTTCTTACTGCAAGTGCACAGGAAGGCTACTCTGTCCCCCTGGCTGGCTGGTTGTAAGGCTCAGCTGCATGCTGCTACTATGTTTCCTTCAGTCACTTTATTGGCTGGGGGTAGCCCAAGCACTGTTGGTTGCACGGTCTAATAGCACATTCTTGCTGCAGTTTTTCTGTTACATGAATAGGCCCCCAATGTGGCTGGTTGCTAGGCTCAGGGGCTCACAATTGCTGTAGGCCTCTGGCCTGCAAGGCTGTTGTCAGCTGTCTCAGTAGTGCAGCTGAGTGGGGCCCGCCCCAGGCCTGGGAGCACACAATTGTTTCAGGCCTTGGAAGGTGGGGCAGATCCCGTATACTGCTCTTTGAGAAGTACAAGTCTACTGCAGCTGACAAACCGCACCATCCACGTTCCTGCCCAGTGTGCATGCCCCACTCCCCTAACGTGGACCCACTTGCCCTGCTGCAGAGGCCCCACACACTCTGCCAATGCAGGCCCACCCTCAAACACACCCTGCCCTGCAAAGGAAGACCCACTCGCCCCACTGCAGAGGTCCCACAAACCCCGCCTATGCAGGCCCACAAACTGCTGGAGGGTTTGCTGGTGGGTGAGGCTTGTCCCTAGGGCAGGCTGCCTGCCCTGGTTGAGCTGGATTAAATAGGTGCTCTAGAGGGTAGGGTAAACACCTGCACTAACAGGCAAGGAAAAGGAC